TTCCGCTTTCGCAAATTTTTCAAATTTACTTTTTCTTGTTATCATTCTTTCCATTTGTCAGTATATTGATAGGTGAAACAATGCAGATTTCTGTCTATTTTCTTAAGTTTTCGTATCGGCAGAAAAATATACTGTCGCATTTAAAATTGGTTTTAATGCTGAAAATGATTTGTTTGTTTGGTTCTATTTTTCCTTTTTCTTCCTTTAAAGATTTATTTTTCTTTCATATACTTATTTATTTATTACATTTTAATCTAATAGTCTCCCAAAAACTAAAGCGATAAAAAAGTTCTTTGATTCCAAGATAAAAGAAACTCATTATGCTTTGAATTTCTTCAGCAATCTTTCACCGGTAGGATTTATTTTCTTCTTTCACCTACTGATACTATGTGATTCTATATCTGTATATGTATGTGTGTAAGTATGTCTAATGGTTTTAATTGATATATATATGTCATCAATGATATATATATATAATCAATGATATATATATGCATTCATAATTTTAGCATATATATACATATATATATGCATATATATATACCGCATTTTATAATTTCATTACACAAAAGTTCTATACCTTAGAGAGTATATCTTTTATAGTAGATTTTAGTATTGTTTGAATTTTGAGGGAAAAGGAAAGTCACAGTTTTTACAAATAAATAAACGTACTTTCCCCCGTTCAGTGCTGTATCTCTTAATTGAGAAATTAACACCAATAGATAGGTTGTTTTCTCTCGAAGGTTCGGCCTCTGTGTGAACGATTAGGGAAAACCGGAAAAGCAAGAAAATAATTTTTCTTTCATGAATCGGCATCTTCAAGAAGCATTGACTCTCAGTGAGTAAAAGAAGACCATCTGGGAAGATGTATTTTAGCATAAAATGGTTTGCAAATCCAGATAACATTAATTTAGAGAGAGTTTTATGAATGCAATATATAATTTTGAGATAAAAGTATAAAAGTAAGTAAAAGAGAGGCGATATAGAGGTGATTTTACTGTTCGACTATTCGATACACTATTCGACTATGTTAGAGTAAAGGCCTCAAACATAGTACTGTCGGCTCCTATGTTTAGATTTGCTAAATTTACTAAAGCACATGATATCTATCTACCAAGATAGAGCTATTCTACTTCCGACGAGCTTTCTGAAGAAACACTTACATGCATTTAGTTTACATGATTGAGAAAAATCATAAAAATTCCATGCAGTTGATCTATTTCATCTCTGAAAATAGAAGCCAAGAAGAATCGATAGTGTTCTCTGGCTTCAGGTAATTAGATTTCTCACTTTGAATTTGGAACTAGAAATATAATTACAAATGTCTCTACTAGGGAAGATCAAAATTCATTATTTTTTTCACACATGTAAAATCTGGTTAAATACGTTTTCTCGTTTATAAATACAAATTTTTCAATAATTCCTGATATTTTAAAGGAAACTTTTGATGTATTTTTTGTTCCTGTAACAGTTCTAACTAATCATTCATTACAGCCACACTAATTTTAACGATATGAAAATTAGCAAATGAGTTGAACTCTTTCATAATTATGATAAAACTTAATTTGGGTTTAAATTACCTCAGAAGTGATTTTTTTTTTTTTCTTAATTTAGGTGCCTTACAATCCAACAGTTATTTCCCCTATTAAAATACGGCCATATTAGTGGCCGGTAAATACTGGTAGTTCGACTTAGATTTACACCCTGACGAACAAATACGATGGCTGAATGGTATTTTCCCATGTATAACATGAATATGAGACTTTTCTCGTTAAAAAGTCCTCTACGAAGGCATCTCTTTCTTTAAAAGCAGATAGTCCTCGTGTGTTTTGCTGTATTCAAGTAATCCTAACCTTCAAACTACGGCACCTGTCACACTAAATCAAGATAAAAGGTTTCTAAACAAGATTTTTAATCGGTCTGCGGGCCCCAGTGGCCAAGCGCTAAAACCGCTGAGTACTGGTAATCCTACATAAGTTCAAATCTGTTGAACACGCTTGTTCGGTGAAGGTTTTTCTACGTTCAATGTGAAGAAAATCTAGTTTTCCTTAGAAAGTCCTCCCTGATAGTTTCCGTCCTCTTGCGCAGATGCCAATTCCATTAAATTTTCTGCATTAAACACAATTGTAATTCTTTCTTTTTAAAGAAATCTCAGGGGAAATAATTGTAAACATCAGATTCAGTGCGATTATGAATTATTATTTTAAAGTAGTTAACATTTTGAGTGGGAAAAGCATTTTAATACGCTCATAAACAACCCATCCTCTAAACTGGCATCAAACTGTGTCGATTTCTACAACAATCTATATAAATAATACGTTTCCAAAAAATTCTGCTAAAATATTAAAAGTTGTATTTGTAGAGCATTTATTAGTTAGGCTACCTACTCAACTTTTGGTTTTCATAACCTATAAGTTATTTTCTCCCGCCTTCTTAGCATACCTTCGTGGTGTAATGGTCAGCACGCACGGCGTGTATTCGAGAGGTTGGTGGTTCGAGTTCCGGCGAAGGCATTGCTCCTATTTCACATGTCCTTCGAAATAACCTAATGTTTCTATAGTGGCACTCAAACCAAAAAAGGTGGTGGATGATGATTCTCCGCCGCAAGGATTTGGCGTTTCGGTCCCCTAATCCCCAGTCGCTCTTTAAAAGGGGGAGTATATATGGTATTTTCTCCCGCCTTTTTAGCATGCCTTCGTGGTCTCAGTACGCTTGGCGCGCATTCGAGAAGTCCGTGGTTCGCGTCCCGGGTAAGGCATTGCTCATTTTTCATGTCTCTTGCTGTTAAAAAAAAATGTAATGTCTCTACAAACCTTCCATTCATCAGAATAGTAATAAAGTAATGAAGCATAGGGGTAGGGGGAAAAGGAATTTTAAAGAAAAGATTATTTTTACAAAATGACTCAAAATTTCTTGGGACAGTATAAGTAGTTATATAACTCAAATAATTAAATATTTGACCTCTTTAATTTTACCAGTATTTCTGTATAGAAATAAAACATAATTAAATATCTTTAATGAGTATCATAGATAGTGGAGCACATCGAGTGAGCTTCACAATATTTTCAAAAGCAGCTACTTTGACAAATAAACAAACTGTCGGGAATCGCTTATGAATGTCACTTACACGTTTCATAATGCCAAGAATGTTATAAAAAAACGGTTATGCTATATCAACAACTTACTTACCGATCTTTCCAAGTGCTTAAAAATAGAGCTGTTCCAAAAATTGTATTCAGTTCATTTCGGTGTTAATTAAAAGCTCGTCGTCGATTTTGAACTACTTATCAATAAGCTATTGAATTCAAATTTTGTACACACACCGTTTACGGATGATAATAATTCGATTTAGAGTTTTTAAATTTAATGTCGAAGAAATTTTTTGCGCATATTTCCATTTAAGAATAAACTAAAAATCTCAAAATTTTTAAGTTTGCATCATTTTACAGAGCGTAAAATATAGCTTTTGAAATAAAATTTGCATGAAATTCGTAACCTAATTTCTGATTTTTTGAGGCGAACTTTGTTTTAAATTTATATATCTTTTCGATTATTTGAGGTAAAAAGGATACTTGGAAGTAAATGACTGAACCAATAAAAAAATAATAATAATAATTTATCGCATAGATTAATGGTAATAAGAGATTACTTAATAGCTTCTTTGCTAAATTCCTGTACAGTTTTATAAGAAGAATCATAGGTCCTTAAATTACGAAATCAAATAATTTGAATCGCATTGTCAGATGCATAATATTTATAAATTTATCAAGACAGCCACGTTTTTGTTATTCGTGATATAAATTGTAGATAAATTTCTTAAAGAGAATTATTTAATCTCGTATTCCCATTAAATTACATGATACATTATTTTTAAAACAAAGGGCGTTAGCCGAGAAGGTCTATTAACTTCCTTTTTTCATTTTCCGTTGAAAACTATGTCAGATCACTTTTCAAACTGTTGCTACTACATATTACAGCCCTGTATTATATTTAAAGAAATTAAATAATGGTTTTGGTTTATTAGATTACGGCAAAGCACTCGAGGCTATCTGCCTTGAAATTAAATAATGAATAATCTGAATAAATATATGTATGTTTCTCGCATTGTGATAAAACAACGGTACGTAGACCCATCCAATTTTGAATAACGTACATTTCCACCCGAATATGGGCATCTCGAAGCCGAGATTTGGAATTTGTTTTATTACATGTTTCATATTTCGTAAAACTTCAATGAATTTTTAATTAAGAAACTCAACGATTTTAGAGCGAGCAAAGGCAACACTGTATGAAAATAAAAATATAAAAAATTATCTTCAACGGGCGAGACTGTGTATCGGAAATTCTAAAGATATGCTCATTTAAAATTTATTTTGCGGTATTGCTGTTTAACTGAAGTTTTATGGTTTAAAGTGCGAAGAACATGATGTTTTAAAAATAAAGGTAACCCACAAACCGTTAAAAAAAACGCCCTTTGGGCCTAATGTAAAATCTGAAAGATTTGCATTTTTCAGATTTTTATGTTTGCATTTATTACTTTTATTTTTCTCGTTTTAATTCATTAATGCTCTTATAGATAAACGCTCATTTTTGTAAAAAATTCTATTTTTTATTCAATAACTGCTCTAAAACGGAAATTCTTTAAATCCCTTTATATATGCATCCACTTTGTAACTGGTAATAAATTTGTTTCTTTAGAGTCAGTGTAAGGCCTTTATCCCAAAACATCAAGAAGATTTCTCCCCACGCTAATGACAGCCATTACCCATTGTCGTCAGTATTGCATGGACCCTTGTCGCCTTAGGCATTGGGGGTTGGAAGACATACAAAAATACGGGCTAGTCCTTTTTAGCGTGTTTTTTCGATAATACAAAAACACGGGACTGTCCGTTTTCGAGGGTACATTTAAACTAACAATAATCCGTAACGAACCGTTAAGAGACCTGCATAAAGAACGAGAAAATCCGAGCCAAACCGTTAATGGGTTAATGTTTTGATAGGTGCAGATTCTCCTCAAGCTGTTCGGAAGTTACTAGCTTTGTCTGATCCGAACAAAGTACGGCCACATCAGCCATTGCGTCCCCCAGTTTCAGGGTCCCCGTCTCTGTCACCTGTGAGTGTTCGCCGTTGCCATGATCCTCGTCCCAGTTTTTCTGCTGAAATGGGCAATGCGACTATACCTGTGGACTTATATCCTGAGAGTTCTAGTGTCACCAGTTTTGGTATGGCTTCCATTAAAAAATCTCAGACCTCAGGTAATATATTTTCTTAATGAAATTAATACTTATGTTCATGTATGTATCTTATATCTTGAAACATTTTTCGACAGTATCACAATTTTATTTGTAAAAATTAATTAAATCAATATATAAAGCAATATAAAGCAGGCATAATTAATGAACTCTGTAGTCTTATATAATTTATCTTGTTATGAATAAATAGTAGAATTTTGTTATACGATAGAATTCTGATAATTCATACACTATGAGTTGTGCTGATTAGTAAGTTTTGTTTACATTTTTATTTTTCTAATTTTTATATTAAATTTGGATTATTTGTGCAAAAATAATTAAGATACTAATACCTTAAAAATTATAATTAATCAAGCTTCACTGAATTCAAATTTATATATATTAAATACTTTCAATACAATAATAATAATGTCAATACCAGGGGAAAATGTAGTGAGACAAAAGGAGTAAATGAAAATGCACTTGTTTTGGAAATATAAAGAACTCCGTAAACACATATTGTGCATATTCACCCTCAAACTTATTTTAAAAGTAATTTTTATGCTCTTAAATAAAAGAAAAAAGTAGAAAATTGAGTATACTACATATTAGCATGGTTTGCTAGTAAATAGGTTTTCCAAAAAATGAATTTTTATGCTAATTCTGTCATTATGTTCTGTACATGTGTAGTTGAACATATACTAGGCATATATAGATGCCAAAATTTTAATAATAATTTAATTTAAATAATTGAGAGGTTATTTTATTCAAATAGTGTCATTTCACATGTAACTGATTGGAGAGTATTACTCATTATTATTAAGAGAACAAACAGGGTTACATGATAGAAATTATTGCTGTCATCATATGTAATAAATATATCAATGATTTTAACGGAATAGAATATTTTCTTCTTTCTATAGTATTTCTAGAAACATTGATAAGTGTAATAAATGCAAGAGTAGCATTAATTTTAAGCATTAATAATTGTCAAAATTCTTTCTGTATTTGAACTAATCAAGTTAAATTCAAAATCATTGAATGCAGCGGTGGTTCTTCTTCTAAAGAATGCTTTTATTCTTTCTGAGGAACTGCTTTTGGCAGAATAATTTGCAGTTGAATAAAGACTATTTTTCAAAATGCAAATAAATCTTCTTTTAAAATTGCTGAATTTCGATGAAGCCAGTCACTGATATTTTCTGGTTACTAATATATTTTATCTACTTTTTCTTATCTGAAAAGTATATTTAAAATACTTTTTTTAAAAATCATACAAAGAAGTCAAAAATTTCAATTGTGATGCTGAGGTATCACATAATTTCATCGTTCAGTAACAAAGCATCATTTCATTGTCAGCTTGTTTCAATAATACTTGAAAACATGAGAAATATCTCCTTGGATATTATTTCAATAAACAAAGTAGAATGACACAGTTAAATTTATTTTGAAAACAAAAGCATTGTTATAAGAGTTAAAGGCAATATATTTAATTTAAGAGTAGGCATACGTATCTTTTTATCAAGAAAATTGTTTGCTGTGTATTTTCTTATAACAGAAAAATTCTTGCACTTTATAAAAAATTTAAAACCCTGCATTAAAAGTAGAAAAGAAATTGTAATAGAAGCTTTGTAATGTTTAATTGATAATTAAGAGATCATAATATTTTAAAATTAATAAGTGGGTACTTTGTTTATACTGTGCATAGTTTTTAAACAGAACTCACTCTCACTGGAAAAAATCAGGAAGTTGAAAAATGTTCACAGAGAAGATCAGTGAAACTGTTTTTAGAAAAGTTGCTGAAGAATGTGATTCCCTCCCCCCCCCCCAAAAATTAGCATTAAAGTTTGTTTTTTAGATAATAAGTTTAAAAAAAAATCGCTCCTCTTAAGAAAGCAAATGGAAATTTTGTTTTTCTTGCACAAATTATTTTACTTAAGGAACAGCTTTATCAATCTTTAGCTTTCTCTTTTCCATCTGTTAATGAGCTTTGCACATTCTTCTCTTCTGAAATGTATCTATTCCGTTATTCCTCTCTTTAGAAGTATGATTTCCCTTCAGAAGTACAGTTCAAAAGTCACTGCACCATGGTTGTACATTTAATACCATTCATTCCAATCCATTGCAAAGTCTCGAGTTTTATTTTGAAATATCATGAGAGTAATATCCATTATATATGATGTGATACTACAAATTTATTTTGTAAAATTAAATTTTTCTGTAACTTGATATTTATTATATTATATTAAAAAAATCTTGCTTGTTTGTCCACCCCCCCCCTTCCAAAAAATGGTTTAGATGCATATTTCCTAGATTTGCTTCTTGAAAATATAAATTAAATTTTTGTGTTGTTCGTAATTATTTCATTATACTTTGTACTAATTACTTTAAAGTTATTCAGTTTGCCACACTTAATTTAATAAACAGCTTATTGTGCCTGTTCAGAAAAATGGAAAAACATTTCTCCCCTTCTTTAGTTCAGTTCAGTTCTTTTTTCAAAGCCTGTTTTTTGTATTTGTTTAGGATCCGTAACTTCATCCGAAAGTCTTCACTTGCAGCACTGTGAAACAGATTCCGGTCATGGATCTGCTAGCTTTGACAGTCATAGCAACAGTTCTGGTGGTTCAACCAATTCTCCTCCTCATCTGAAGAGGAATGCTTCTGGTAGGCATAATTTAAATATTATTTAAGTATAAATACATATGAAATCAAAGTGAGGCATATAAAACTATAAAAATTGCCCTTTCTTTTTTAGGTCCAAGTGCATCACACACCATTAAGAAGTTTTCCGAATAAATGTCATTCCATGTTCATCTTATGTGGTAGATGTATGTAAGTATAAATCTGAAAGTCAGTGATAATGTAACAATTCTATTACACATTAGGCTTTTCCAGAGAATGCTTTAAAAAATTTCACATTTCAACTTCTTATTATGATAAGAGAAGTTTTTCATTTCAACTTTCTCATATGGGACCAAATACTAAAGTTTGAAAATGTGATCAGTGATTGTGAAATGCATATTATGTTGTGTTGTAATGACTTCGCTTAAGTTTTCTGTTCAAAGCAATAAGAAAATTGTTTTATAATTGCCACTTCTTAAAGAATAATTGTGCCCAAAAATATTTTGAGAATTCTGCACCTTAAAATGAGTGAAAAGTTTTTTGGATTAGGCTAGCATTAAATCTTTTAATTTTGATGAACAGTGTAGTTATAAAATTTATATTTTGTAACCTAGACCTTCAAAAATGTTTTTTCAAATTTCCTCAATCAAAATGGATAACACCATTTGGACAAAAACTTATTGCATAAAAATAATGTGAAAAATAAAAAGTGTAAGGTTTAATTTTTAAATTGTCAAATAGCTCTTAAATAATGAAAATTGCAAGAAAGAAGTGAACATGGCAATGGTGCAGCATATGTTTGCAATCATGCAAGGCCTGTGCAAAAGGAATGGTGGTAGACTGTTCCTCATGTGATGCTTCCAGAATAATGTATATCGAGAACTCTTCATTAAAAGCAGATAATTATTTTTTGAAGGCAAAAATAGAAAACAAAAATCTATGTGAATCAAATTAAAAGAGTTCTGTGAAAATGGTATAAATTAGCACAAAAGAAATTTTCCAGTTTTTGTCTAGTTTTCAAAATTGCATTGCAGTATTGCTTCTAACTTTGGTTGACTTAGACCCATATCACGCATGCATTTGTTTCACACAAACAACTGTTTCAGACAATATTTCTGCCTGATTTACTATTGAAATTATTACTATTGAAAGAAAGACGCAAACTTTTTTCCTTCCTTTCAAAACTAATTGCAAGTTGTTTCCAATCAGCTTGTTTGCAACGGAGAACCAGTTTTTCCTTTTACATATTAACCCCAGAGTGATCTGTGGTGATTGGCTGTTATGACAAAGCAGAAAAATTGTTCCAAACAGTTGTTCCAAACGGATATATGATTGCTATCACATATCTATTTGGAACCATTAGAACTATAAAACAAACCCCATCCCATTCTTAAAAAAATACATGTTAAAATAATATTTTAAGTAAATCAGTGTTAAGAAGACCAAAAATAGAGTATTATATTTTTTATTAAAAATTGTAACATAAAAGTAATGTAATTTCTGCATTAAATCATACTCCAGGTGTCATCTACCTTTGCCTTATATTTAATGATAGGGCTGTGCTGGATTTGAGCAAAATTTGACTTATTTGACCTTGAATCAGAGTTTCAAAAGTTTTTGAACATACATCTTAATTAAGAATTTTGAGAAAATATGAAGCTAAATAACTTTAAAAAATCCTTTATTCTACTTTCAAAAGACTTTTTTTCTATTGAAAAATACCAAGCCTAAATGTTATTTCAACTACCTATAATTGAATGACCTTGAACTGACTTTCAAAGTTTTAAATATACACACATTTGCCCTGGTGATTTTTGAAGCATCTGATAAATACTGTTTCCTAAGTTATTTGAACTTGAATGACTAGATTTGCTTTATTAGATTGCTCATGTATAAAGTTATAGCTCTCATACAGTTAGAAAACAGTTAAGTGATAGGATTTAAACAGCAAATTAAGTATTTTAATTGCCTTTAGCCAGAATGTCATGTCTAAACACCAGTATTCCAAAGCACTTTCGTTTAGTAAACCATCCACAAAAGCATCTCTCCCTCACTTATAACTCTTTCCCTCCTTTACAGGCCAAATATGTAATTTCCTATAGCTGTTAATTTTTTGCAAGGTGTAAATTCGTGACTGTCTCTTTTAAATAATCATGCCAAATTAACAATAAGAAATCAACAGTTTATTGAAACTAATAATAGCATGCATACATTAAAGAATGCAGACATTAAGTAATTCCTGCATAGCATGCAAAATATTATAAATTATAAAGTGCAAAAAGAGTTTTCGCTTATATGTAGCGTTCTAATTGAGCTATTTAAATAATTTAATGGTTGCTGGATTTTGAATTGAAAGATCTATCATTCTATACCAGAAATAAACATTTATATACACTGGTGAAATAAATTAAGAGAATTTGCATATTTTATCGATTTGCATGAAAAGAACCGAACTGAAAGAAAAACCACTGCTTCTAGATAAAAAATACAAATATTGTACGGCAAATACGCAAGTGTACGTACACGTGCATGTTGGCATGGCCAGCAGAAAAACAGGCTTTATAAGCGCGTGGAGGGTAAGACGAATTGCGTTCACGAGCACATCTCGGCAAATTTCTTGGTGTTATCTTGAAGGTTAAATTAGGTTAAATTCACATCGGAACAGTAAAAATGAGTAACCACCAACGTTTAGATGATGGAATAAGGTGGTGAACTGTGGGGAGGAGGCAGGCCAATCGCAAGTCCAGATATGCAGAGAGTTTAATTTAACGCCCAGCATCGTGTGTAACCTATGGAAACAGTTCCAGGATACTGGATCCATCGAAAGAAAGCTTGGGCAAGGTTGTCCAAGAGCCACGACGGCCAAAGAAGATCGCTGTTTGTCCGTTTTAGCGAGGCATAACAGAGGGGATTTAGCTTCTCAGCCCTCTCGGGACCTTTTTTGCAGCCACAAGAAAGACTGAATGAGAGAGGGTTGTGTGCAATGAGCTTATGTCTACGGACAAGTGATTGGAGTACGGAGCAGTAGGCAACCGTTCTGTTTACCAACGAGTCCCATTTTAGCCTACACACCGATTCTCACCATACTTTCATATGTAAAGAGCCAGGGACCTGCTACCTACCCTCCAATGTCCACGAAATCAACAATTATGGTGGTGGCGGTGTAATGGTCTGGGCAGGCATGATGTTGGATAGCTGCATACCTCTCCACATCTTTGACAGAGGCTCTGTGACTGGTCTAAGGTATAGGGACGAGGTCTTGGAGCCCTATGTTCGCCTATTCCGAAAAGCAGTGGGCCCCGAGTTAATCTCACAGGACAATAATGCGAGGTTACATAGAGGGATGGATTGGCCAGCCAGGTCTCCAGACCTCAACCCTATAGAGCATGTCTATGACGCTCTGGGAAGGGCAATTGTAACTCACAACCCCCCTCCGAGAACAATCCAGGAGCTAAAAACGATTTTGTTGAATGAGTGGAACCAGACACTAAACTGCCATGACATCACGCTGCGAGGCCTGTATGGCTGTAAGAGGGGACCATACCCTCTATTAACCCATTTCTTTTATGTCTTCTGCAACTGCTGTTTCAGACCTTGAGACTCCCATGAGTGTTACACACGAAGATGTGTGTCTATAATAACTGTTGAATGTTTATTTTGTTTGTATTATATCAACCTATATTCACACGAAATTTTATTAAAATCTACCCAGTAGTTCTGGAAGTCGTAGATCAAGTATGAAAATTCTCTTAATTTCTTAAAACAGTGTACAAACATACGACCACAAATAGAGTTCCACACAAAAAACGCCAGCAACAAATATAAATTAACCTGTTTTAAACAAAATACTACACAATAATACAACAATAAACAAAAGCAACCAATTAAAATATTTACAGAAATTATTGTGAACATTTATTGATGTCCTTAGGAAAATTTAGGTATTTTGTCCCTCCTTTCTGCATGCCTTTGTGGTGTAACGATAGCACACTCAGCACATGGTTTCAAGTCCCGCTGAGGTGCATTGCTCATTTTTCATGTCTGTTACTTCAAATTAACCTAATGACTCCACATAGGTTGATAGAGTTCTATAAAAATTTCATTAAGTTTTCACATTTTTTTAATTAATGACTAAACCTAGTAATTTTTTACTTGCTGGTATTCTGAAGCACTCCCTTTGTTATATGGAAACAATTCCTTGCAACAAGGAAGAAACTAGAACTGCTACTAGAAAATGGTGGAACGAACTGGTCATTGGTGGTATGGTAACACGTCTTTGTCTTGCCCCTTTTAACTAGATACATTTATCTTGCCTTTATTCTGCCTAAAACTATTACCTTTTCTTTGAGAAATTAGTGCTTAGGCAAAAACCAGTAGGAGGGAATAATCTTATTAGGTTAATTAAAACATAATTATAATAATCCTCAAGTATTCACATGAATAGAATTTTCCACTTAGTGAGCAATCTTCTGAAGAATAACACATAAGATAGAATGTGACGGATTTTCAAATATAGAAAAAATCGGAGCAAAATTTCAGGTTTGTTGACTCATGGAATCCTTAAAACTATACAGTTTTCGGTTGAACTCCATTCCCACCCTCAGATAGCTTAAAATAATATTTAAAGTGGAATACAGTAGGTTTTCTGAACATGGCAATGGCAGAGTCTGCAAATGGTATCCAATCACATTCCAAATATGTTCGATTGGTGAGAGATTAGAAGAGAAAGGTGGCCATACACCATACATGTTGGCTGAGTGTTGTTTGTAGAGTATGTTGGCTTTCAGTGCTGTGAGCAGTCCTTAAAGGTAGAGGACTATTACCAGCTGCAGTGCATCATCCATGTATCGTTGGGCTGTCATAGTGCCCTCAATACAACTAGAGATGACTTGGAACAGTACACAACTGCGTCCCAAACCACGATGCCGCATTGTCACTGCTACCATCGACGTCACACTCGTATGTGCTGAATATCACTGGAGAAACAGAAGTATGAATTATATGAGAGTATGATCCCATACTATTCCACATCACTCGAGCCCGGCATTATTACAATCGTTTGATGTCTGTGAAGTGGGGTCAATAGACTTCTTAGGCTGCTATCACATTTTGGTTTGTTTTGAAAGAACAACTGTTTGGAACAATTTTCTGCTTTGTCACAACAGCCAATCACCATGGATCGCTTTGGGGTTAACGCAGGGAAAACTGGTTCCCCATTACAAACAAGCTGATAGCTGATTGGTTCAAAATGAACAACTTGCAATTTTTTTGGAAAGGAAGGGAAAAGTCACACGTCTTTCTTCCAATAGTAAACCAAGCAGAAATATTGCTCGAAACAGTTGTTCGTGTGAAACAAACACCGTGTGATATGGGCCTTAACAAATGCCACAAGTGCACTCCAGTCTTGAAAGTCCAGGCAAAGAGTGTCTTGAAAATGCTGGAGAATGGAGGTAGAAATAGCTTGCGGGTGCACCACTGCTTGTTAGTGGATGTGTCGATCCATGTGTGCTGATGTCACTCTGCACCGCCACCCTTCAAACTTGGCAAGTTTCATTTTTCCAAACATTGTTACCACAACAGTGCATTATGGATGCATCCAGGTGTGTCAGCTGAGATTTGCCATGTGGACCAACCTGCTGTTCGTTCTCAGTCTGATCACCATGCCCTTCATAAAATTGTCTGTCTGCTGGAACTGCCTCTGCTAAAAACGGCCTGGGATTCTCTGCTAATACATGCACATTTCACATCATTCACATAACTCTTACGTGCATCTACCCTGAAATTTACATAATTTTCAGGCCTTTCCTTTTTCGGTTTTCTGAATGGCATTAAAATAGCATGGTCTTTGCACTTGCACTCTGCAATAAGCTCTCTTGGCATCCATCTCTCACAAGTTTTATGGAAACTGAGCTTTGTTATATAAGATTTGATAGGTCATCTTGTTGTACAAGATTTGATAACTGTAAAACTTACCTAGACAGCATTCTCTCTCGCCCTGCCCATCATACTTACTACTGGTACACTTTGATCCATTCGTACACTTTTGTACATGCTTCAGCACTATTCCCATATTGTATTGAAAGCATGCAATGAGCCTTTGATATGTACATTGTACAAAAAAAAGGGGGGATAGTTCTGTACCTCCCATTCTACTGGATGGTTAACGAAATTCAACTTGTGTTTTTCATGTCTCGAAAGTGCGACTTAGGATATGTATTAGATTTATATGTAGCCATTGTTCTAATATAGATATTTTGACACAAAATCGGACTTTTTCTGAAATATGCCGATTTTTTTCCATATTTCGATTCTATGATTCAAATTATGCCAAGTTTTGTTAAAATAACACGAATTGTGTTATTAGCTCTCAAAATTTTAGCTCCTCATTGTTAACTGAATTTGATATATATTTATTAATATATATTTTTTATTAAACTTACTTTATTCCTTCTTCCAGAATTCGAAATTTAGGCTTAATCCAAGTATAATTTGCGCATTTTTTTAAGATTTATTTTTTAAATTTGTATTTTTAAATATGTTTTGTAAATTTTTTTAGAAACATTTTTGCATAAACTTATTGCAAATTTGCAAAAAATTAGATTTTTATTCAAAATTTTCCAAGATATACAGGAATTTACATACTGGAGTTTGAAATTTAGCATTTTTTTTTTTTTTTTTTTTTTTTAAGCAATAATAACGCCAAATGTGGTTTATGCACTTTGTTAAAATTATTTGAAAGTATGAACAATGACTTTTCCCCCCGCTCATCTACAGTGAAAGAAAGGAAAATAGGTTGCTATAAATTAAGAAATTTGTGGATAAAAAAATACGCCAAGATAATTTTTTTTAATTTCTCCATAAATTTTCCACCAAATTTTATAAAATTTAATGTTTAGGTATGATTTGAGTTATAGAAATGAAATGTGGAAAAAAAATGGTATTTCAGAAAAAGTCCGATTTTGTGTCAAAATACCTATGTCAGAATGATGTTATATATATATATATATCTAATATATATTAAACCTTAAGATATGCAGGGAATTTTTTATTTTTGAATAATTATGACCTAAGACTTAAAAATAAAAATCGAGTGTTTTTTCATATAGCTAAGATACAATATTTAAATATATTTGATTTTCTGTTTTCAGGTATCATTAGTTAGAATCTCATTTCTTGATGTCTGATCATCATGAGGCGCTGTCAGTAATCGCCAAGTGTACAAGGGTGCAATGAGGTCTAATTCAAGGGCACCCACCACTTTCACCCCACATGTATTTCTCAAAGTGTGATCTTTGTTTGTTTGTTTTTGACATGAAAGTGTGTTGTATTCACCAAAGATAACTGACTTTAATGCTCAGATTGTGATTTAAATGTTTGTGAAGTTATTTGTACACAGAATCAAAACATGTACAGAAGATTGCACTAAACTGATGTATTTATAATTTGATTCAATTTTGTTTTTCATTTTTATGCAAATACACAGTTTAAGAAATTCTTGTTTTAAAGATGAAATATTATTTCAAAAACAAACTTAGAACTAAATGAAAAATTTTGAAAACGGCATGTTTTTTAGGATGTGGGAAATTTTCAATATTTTTAGACTATTCGTATTTGTGTAAATCACTTTATACTTACTTATTAAGTTAAAAATATTTTCAGATAATCCTTTAAGGGGTAATAATAACACATCAGCAGTTTTAATTTCAAGATAAAAAGTACGTGCATGCAAATAATTTAAGTGTTTAAAAATTTTCTTTTTATCAGTATTACATATGAAATTCTATGATAATATTCATGGTTTATAAATGTCACAGAAGTTAATGCAGTTTACAGTTTTTATTAACTACGGACATTTTAATGCACATTCTTCAGGGACAGATTATTTCAGTTTTCTTTAATTTTTGAGGAAGCATCATTGTAAAAGACATTTAAAAATCTGTTAATTTCATGACTAAAATAAATTATCTTTATCAAAATATTTTGTAATCTAATTATATTTATCAGATTGAAACAGATGTTAGGTTACGTAAAATTAATTAAAATTTTAAATGCCTAGGTACAAGTTTTGAAATCCAACACAATATTTACAAATTCTAAATTTATTGAAACAAATTTAAAACTTATAGGCATTGAGGAGCTTCCAAGATGAGACTTAAAAAGAATGGAGTGATGTTTTGAATACATGGATTGGTATATTTTCATGATTACTGATTTAGATGTAAAATTTTGTTGTTTGTAACATTTACCCTGTCATGTTTACAAAAGAATTGTACATATATTTACCAAAGATTTGAAATTCTTATAAATGATGAAAGAAAACTATTTTATGATTAAAATAATCTATACTTGTATTTTCCATGTGTTTTGTATTATAATTATGTACATATTTAGCAATTATTATATTTTGTATGATCACAACTATTTACATGCCAAGATTAAATTTTTTATTTTCTATTTATTATATAATCTTACATGTTCTAGTTTAGGTTTACTCGCATTATGTATAAAATAATGTGCATTTAGTTCAAAGCACTGGAAATTAAAAAGATTTATTTCCAGTTAGTGAGAGCTTGTAGCTTTAAAAAGAGATCTGAAAATGTATTTTTATTCTTTCACTTATTTTTTGTACCAAATTAGATCTAAGGTAATATATCCGTATGTCCTTTGTGTATAATTTAAAAGAAAGATTAACATGTATCTACGAAGAAAGGAATGCAGAACCGTCAGTCATCCGTCAGACAAATTAGATATATTAGAAATTGTTTTTAAAGTTCATCATGGTCATATCATGAGATCATAACCTCATTCGTATTTCCTGTTGACTTTATATACTTGTTTTTAGTCTTCATGTTCATGTGAAGTTATTATCTCGTCTTCCTGAAAGTGCTCATGTGTTAAAAGTATATAAAAAGGGAAAAAAAATCTTGTAAAGAATTGTTTATTTCATATGTTGCTCAATTTTTTTTTTTTTTTAATATCTGGACATACCTGAATGCAAAAAATTGAGTACACAATTTTTTTAATTGTTTATCTTATTTTGAAATTATGAAGTAATTTAAATTATTAGCTATAATTCCTAGTCTGTAAATATAACTGATTTATAAGAAATGTGGATACATATTGTAATGTTAAAAATATTTTGTTATATCTTTTTGTTATTTGATCTGAGTATAATTGTAAATATGTATTTTATGAAGTCTCTTCCTGATATAAAAGTTATTTTAGTTTTAGTAAGATCTGCAGTTTCTGTAATATTTTTAACTAAATTAAAGTAATATTTGAGTTAATTTATTTATCTCTTTGTTTATTTTAAATAAATGAAGCTCCCAATTTATACTTAGATTTGCAATTTTTTTAAACAATTCATTCACAAAAATTTGCATGTGCTCCATCACAACTTTTACATAAAAGCTATATTTCACATTATATGAACATGTGCTAAAGTATTTTCTTGGAATTAATTGAGAAAACTGCTATACTGTAATAGTAAAATGCTCTTGCAGCATTAACTGCTTAACCTTTTTAGTTAACACTTCGACCAAAGATATTTTTTTAACAGAAAGTTGAATTGTTATAGTACAATAATTACAATTAAATTTATACTTTCTGATTATCTACATCTCCTACTGAAAAGTCATAAACTCACTGCCAACTAACTATTTGCCAATTAATGTATGAGAAGAGCCATTTTCCAAATGGTGGTGCACTAAGACTTCCATACCAGAACAACCAATCAATAAAATTAAAAAGCAAGAAATAATAACTAATAAAACACTTACATTTTTTGAAATTCTTCTTTTTGTGCTGTTTTCTTAATGTACACAGCGATCTGTTAAAATAAATAAATAAATCAAAATCGTAGTATTGCAGAAACTCAGCACTACACAGATGTACTCAGCTTTTTGGTGGGGGTATGGCTAATCATAAAGTATCAAATATTATAATTTTATGCAATTATGTGTCATCTGCAAGTATAACTGTTATCCAGATATGATTTTGGTTATCTATCCCATTTCATGTTCTTCGTTTATTTTGCTGATAATAATGAAATATCAAGAATAAATAATCATAAACTGTAATCAATAACCTATCAGAAAAAAGTTTTTAATCTTAAAATAAAATTTTAATGCAAAATTTTTCACGCTATTATTACCATTTTCTTTTTTTTAAGACTGATGAATACATAAAATTCCCTCCAGGAGTTCTACAGATAATTTGTAAATCATTTCACTTAGAATCAATAAAATTTTAGAACTTCCTGAAATTTAAACGATCATGATGTAAAGCTGGAAAATCTAATTGACTCACCTAAATTATTTGGAATTACTTAATCATTTGCTTAACATTAAATTGCCATATTTTTGCTATGACATTTTCTAGCGTTTTCTTACTTTTGGTATATATCAGTGCTTCTTGAAATTTTATGCTTTAATAAAAAAGAGAAAAATGCTAATAAATTCATTCAACATTGCATTTTTGAACATAAAATTTTTTTTAGTTTGAAAATAAAATGTGTTAATTGATAAAATATTGGTTTTGTTTTAATTATACCAACAATAGCGAGAAGAAAAACTAAGCATATATTTTTTGTTTATTGAAATTTAATTTTTATTAATAGATGAAATTGATGATTAATAAATAAATAATATGGAATTTAATGCTTTATTATTGGACAGTAAAAGTATTATAAGGTTTTCCACTTCCCTAATAGAAAAGAAACTTTTTCAAATTTTAACTTCTCTTTTTTTTCTTGCTTTAATAAATACAACTTTTTTGCTTCTATTTCTGTCCCCGGCCCCATATTATTTTGCAAAAGGACTGAGCTGAAGGGTTCGTAACTCAGTAAATCACAATCATTAACATAATTTAAAGAATATTTTTTGTGCATTGTATGTGATATGAAAAGATATTTGTTAAAAGCACAATTATGTTGTGATGCACTAAAACTGCAAAAATTGTTCATTGTTTATTAGTAATATGAATGTTGCTCAGTGGTGCACTAATATGTTGTAACAGTGACTGTTTTGTGATCAAACAAAAGCTGATTAAATCATTCTATTGAAGGTGCCAAGGCAAATTAAAAGCTCAAATGTTTCAGTATTCTTGAATTTTATATTTAAACCAGTGCATATTTATTTGATGTTATGTAATGTAAGCATGTTGTTTACATTGAGCATAACATGATACAGCAAATGGATATTATTTCCCTACCTCTTATGATATGTTTTAACATATCAGGATTAAGTCATGTTAAAATATGAAGAGCTGAAAATTTAAATGTAGGTTTTTGGTAATAGTACTATCAGTTTTTCAAGTTGTTCCTACTTTTATCATGTGTATAATATTTTTTAAAGCAATGTTTATTCTGTAAATTACATTCTTTTACCATATATGGACTTTTGAATCTTATTTTATCTTATAATAAGCTCTTCATATTTGGATCTTTGTACTGTAATAGTTTTAGTCTGTGATGCAGGTCATTTGATAGGCTATTAACGTGTATCCACTTTTTATTTTATTATGTATTGTACAAGCTTATAAATATATATATTAAAAATGTCACTAGTTGATCGTGTCGATGCTTGTATATTGCGAATACACTGTGAAGTGCATGATCTGTGAGTTGCAATATTGATATATTCTTTTACATTTTTACCTACAATGCACTTACAAGTGATAAGTCAAACTGTTTTTTGTCTTGTATAAATATAACAAGATCCCTCCCTTATATGTAAATATTCCAAATTCCATTTTTTTTAGTTTGTGAAAAATAAAATTGATTCTGAAAACTTAATATTGTGTCTGTGTTGAATTTTGCTGCAGACTTTCTTTAAACCTCACAGGTGCTATAATCTCGAACCTCACCTTTTTGTCTGTATCGCATTTCAAACTGTTGCCACCAAATGTGATTGCTTTGTTTCTCCACCCAAACTGTTAACTGCTTTTGTTTTATTTCATATTTTGAAATTTAAATTAAATTATTTTTTTCTTTAACAAACTTAGAGATATGAAAGCTAGAAGTGGCAGCACCATTCAAAATAAAACCCTTTTATCTCCAATGTGTTAGACTATTGCCATTCAAAAAAATGTAAGACATTTAGCTGTTTGAAAGCAATGTGTTGTCAATGTCAAAGATAAAATACTTTTATCTCCCACATACTAGCATGTTCCCTTTAAGTAAACTTATTTAACTTCGAAATTTAATCTGGAAGGCTGAATAACAAATAACACAACTTCAAAGCACTAAATACAAGTTCTTAAGAAAATTTATCTACTCTTTTTGTTATGGCTGATTGAAATAAAAATGCTTTAAAATCATGCGATATCCAATTAGAAATATTTAAAATATTTTTATGAAATTACATTACTTGGATTCAATAAAATTATATACTTATTTTTTATGATAATTAAATAAAGTTAATAAAAAGAGATAAAAATAGAAAAATGCATGTTAGCATTTAATATTATATCAGGAAATTCTAAACATATGCTATGCTCAGGGTTCGTAGCCACATTTTAGTTAAAAAAATAAGCACTTTTCAAGCATATTTTAAGAAAAAGAATAAGCACCTGTCTAATTACATTATACTGCATAACCTTAAAAGAAAAATTAGACTTGTAATTTAAAATATGAGAAATTCAGTATTTATTAAGAGCAAATGAGCATTACTCATCCATGGAAAACAATTACATTCTTTTTTTTTAATTTTAAGTAACAGTTCAATTTACAGAACTAGTTTACAATAAGAGGGGAAAAAATTATGCAGAACTAAATTATATTACAAGATTTAATGATGAAATTTCAGTTCAAAATAGAGAAAATAAATAATAATAACCCATATTTATTATATGAAATCAGAAGACGACAAATTGCTTCATGCAATCAGCCTTTAACAGTAAAATCTTAACTAACCGGCATACTCGGAAATTGCCAAATACACTGGTTATCATCATAAATTAAGGAAAAATCACGATTACTGAAAAAGTTACATGTAGAATTTAATGAAACTTACCCACAATATACAACATATAGTAAGGTATCAAATAACATAAAAAGAAATTACCAGACAAATATGGTAGTATTGAAATTAGCACATGTATAAAATGAACAAATCGAAGGTGTCAGTTTGTTATAGGAATTACCTTCAATATGGAATATGATCACCTCTAGAAGCAATACAGCACATACAGCGATGTGTGAGGCTTTCAATTATGCGGTCTATCAGTTCCAAAGGAAGCACGAGCCATTGCTCTTGCAAAGCAGTTGCAAGCACGACAAGGGTTTGAAGGGGCGGATTGAGAGCAGCTAGACGTCTCCCTAAAGCATCCCAAACGCACTCGATAGGATTCAAGTCCGGGGATCGAGCTGGCCACTCCATGCGCATAATTGTTTCCAGTTGAAGATAATCATCTACGATGCGAGCCCTGTGTGGCCTTCCGTTGTCACTCTGTAACAGGAAAGCATCACCTATTGCCCCGGCATAAGGGTGCACATGAACATTAATAATGTCATCTCTATAAATCTGAGCATTCACAGTTCCCCTTGGAAAGACATGGAGGTCTGTGCGTCCACCCAAAAAGATGCCACCCCAAACACAGACACTGCCCCTTCCGTATGCATCTCTTTCACGGATGTTTGACGGATGATAACAGGTTCTAGGTTCTCTCCATATCAAATAACGCCTACTATCGCTTTCTAGACTAAACCTAGACTCACCCGTAAAGAGAACTGCCCTCCATTGATCAGGCGTCCGGTGGATGGACCATGTTGTTGTGCCCACTGAAAACGGTCCCTCCTATGGAGTGACATGAGCGGCACACAAATGGCTGGTCACCTCGCCCGTCCTTGGCTGAACTTCCTAGATGCCGAATCTGTGGTTTGAAATTGCCTCTAAAGTCTATGAACCACAGAAGGACTCACATTTAGCCATCTGGCCACTTCTGTTTGATTTTGTCCTGCCTCTAGTCTCCCATGATGGCTCTCCATCGCAGTTCTGCAGGCAAATGATGCCTGGAGGTCATTGTTATGAATTGGCTATCTCAGATTTTTTATGTCACTATCATAGTGAAATATGTGGGCTTGCTTTCAAACATGGACTTTTATGCTCCTTGTAGATGACGTATTCCAAAAGCAGCGAAACTAAATTGCATATCGCAGTTTTACTCAGCTACTCTTACTTGGCAACATATTCAATTTTAACACGGTTTGGCATATTTTTGAGGGAGTTATCGCTATTTTTGTGATTTTTTCTTAATTTATGATAACCAGTGTATTTTATATGTACGAGCCACACAAATTGCCTGCGAGAGCCATATCAGGCTTGCATACTATAATATAATCCTAATTTTGTTTAATTGGTATTTAAAACTCATAAATGATTGGGAAAGACGATACGATTCTGACTATATTGCAAAATATTCCTAAACTGTATGGTACTTACGTATCATCGTAACGACCTTAGTAGAAGTCATCAAATTTTCAGAAGCCACCAAACTCTGGCAACCACGCACAGGACAGTTCCTTAGTTAACTATATCCATTGTTTGTAAGTTGCAAACCGAGAATTCACCGAATCGCCTTTATTTTTGTAAAAACTGCGCCAACATGGTTGCGCTAATACATAAGTAGATTTAATCCTGGTGTACTGTACACATGAGATTTGGCGAAACTTTACATTCTGTATCAATGGTTTTGGCAAGTTTTTGATGGATTACTGCTTTATTTTTTATTTTTATTTATTTTGAGTTGTTGATTGTTTAGCTATTTTGAATTCCTGAGCGTCAATGATTTTAATTTTATTGATTTATAGGGATTTTTTTTAAGTCTGGT